TATAGGCATACAGCCTGATGAAACCCCATGGCATCCAAGCAGCTGCCACAGCTTGGCAGCCTCAGCTATGTTGACAAGTGCCCAGGAGCACACCAAACCCGAAACCCTAAAAAACCTCAGCGTGTTGGAGACCTCACTCCTTCCCACGGGTCACTCCTGTCTCAAACGGTCCTTGTGGTGGGAAACACCTCTCTTCGACTCCTTGAGGACTTCGCTCAACAGCTTGCTTACATCTGTCATGCGCTTCAGAGGAGATCCTGGACATGTAAGAGAATGGTGCAAGAGTTCTTTATCTTGGTCCGCGGCGTGATCCGGGGATACACAGTTCACGAAGCCGTAGCCTTCGAAGGAAAAGGCGGGCAACGACGCGTTACTCAGGTTTCGGCGCATGCTAGGCTGGTATGTTCACTCAATCCACCAGTGCCGGTCCCCAGAATTCTGAACCGAGCCAGAAATTTGTCCGGGAAGTCATATATGTCACGAAGTCCGAGACCCAGGCAGTCTTTGACTTTGAGCCACTCAAAGTCTTTTGGGGATTACTCAGCACCCGGACACATCTGGGCTACCCGGCCAAAACAAGTGGCACTGCCGTCCGGAAAGCGCAGAGGCACGTACACCTTACTTGGAGGATCATGGGACTTAGTAGGTATGGTTATAAGTACCTTAATTGGGGTTATAAGTAGTTGTAAGTGTAGTTGCCCTAATAATAACCTTAGTCACTAAGTCCCATGATCCTTGAAGTATGCAGACTTCAGCAAAAGGGGCCGGGGGATGGCTCGGGCCTTTGGGATTCTTGCTGCAAGACGTCGAGTAGCAAGTGCCAGAGATCCTTTCGTGTCTGCTTCTTCGGGCTTTAGTTTAAGGCTCCGAAGGCAGAGGCTTCTAAATCTCCCCGGATCCTAGCGCCGTAGGAAAGCTGGTGCATAAGCTTGACGACCCATGACGTTCACAAGCAGCAGGAAGGTCATCCGAGTCAGCGGAAGCACCCGCGATGCTTGGGACGAGCTGCAGACTGTCGATTAGTTTAGCCTGCCCTACCCCTAAACCCTAAACCCTAAACCCTAAACTCTAAACCGTCACCGGGGCACGAAGTCATAGTAACTGCTAAAACCGGCGATGTCCAGCAGGTCTTTCAGCATCTGGCTTGTGCTGTCCTCACAAGGATCGGTCTGCAATGGCATGAGCTTTGAAACGGTTTAGGGTTTAGGGTTTAGGGTTTAGGGTTTAGGGTTTAGGGTTTAGGGTTTAGGGTTTAGGGTTAGTTTAGGGTTCAGGGTTTAGGGTTTAGGGTTATTTAAGGCATCTACTGCGACAGCAAGAGATCCAGAACCTGTCAGGTCATGAATGAAGAAGGACGGCTTCGGGCGTCTTCTCGGGCATTCGAACAGACCCAACCTTAGCGAGAGAGAACCGCTTTTTCCGACAACACAAACGGCTGCCCAGATAACCCCTAAACCCTAAACCCTAAACCCTAAACCCTAAACCCTAAACCTTAAACCCTACACCCTATCCCAACATTAGGTCACTAACTTCAGGCAGGAAGGCGACAAGAGCCATCGAGCGAAGGCCACAACAAGGCGCAGCGCCCAAATAAACGCGAAAGAAAAGAAACAGGGCTGTTGGGCAGGAGGAAGGCTGCGGGTTCAAGAGTAGTGCAGGAAGACCAAGAGTAACAAAACTGCAGCCGAAGCGTCTGCTGGGAGATCGCAGATCATCCTCAGCTGTCTTCGAAACTCCACTGTATGTCCTGGTTTCGCAGGATCCGTCGGAAATAGTACTTCAAAACCTTGTGCTTGCCGAAGTAAGCCGAGCATCAAGGTCGTCTTCGGTTCATCACCCAAATCCTGCACAAGGAGTGATCTGATGACACTGTACTACCACGACTGCCTGCAATGGACCACCAGAACACACCGGGCTTCCACAAGGCTGCCGGGTTTCAGGGTTGGCAGTTCGGGGTCTGAAGTTCCATGGGCCGAGGCTCCGAATTTGAGGTGCTTCTGAACGAAGAGGTTGGGGAGCAGGTAGACGTCTCGTCCAGGCCTAGGAAGAACGTTCTAAGATCACAGCATGTGGCAGCCCTGCTGAGGAACCAAAAAGCACCGTCGAAAGAGAACACAGCGGCAAGGATCAAGGCAGCTGCTGCAAGTCAGCGAGGAGTAGACAAAATGAGGAAGGTTCGGAGTTCGTAAGACTTGGATACGCTGTGTACTTCCGAGCCGCTGTTCGCGCGAAGCTTTTCGGCCACAAGCTGCTCGACGAGCTTGTAAAAGCCCGTCTCCACAGTCCTGGTCTTACAAGACACTTCCGAGTTGATACATCGGCGAGCCAAAGAACCTACGGCCACGCCACCCGCCTGCGCTTCCCCCAACACCCCCTTGCTGCCGCGACTCAGCTTGAAAGGCTCCCCCATCTCCTTGGGTTTAGGATTTAGGGTTTAAGGTTCATGGTTTAGGGTTTAAGGTTTAGGGTCTAGGGTTTCCGGCTTCACAGCTGCGGTCTAAGGGGCCTGAGCTGGGGGGTTGATTACAAGCGATGTTGAGATCAGGCTATGGGCCATTCTGAAAGGTCGGCTATTGCAGCATTAGACATGACAGACGCTTCAAGAATACAGAAGGTAGAGAGGATTCACTCCCAAAAGCAAACTCACAAGGCATGCCTCTGGAAAGCAAGCTGCGATCCGCGAAGTCTTCTGTATTTTGAGGGGGTCGGCGTCGGCGCGAGCAAGCGGCTAAAAAGCTGCAGAACACCGAGCATCAAGAGCATGTGGGCAGTTTTCTAAATTAGGGCCCTTTTTGGGGATCCTTTTTTATAAGGGTGCCGTACTATATTGGGGACCCAAAAAGGGTCCCTAGTTTAGAGAACTACCTATGTGCAGTTGCATATTTGTTTTGGGCTGAGGGTTCGAGGTTGAAGCTCCATGGCTTACGGCTTTAAGGTCTGAGGATTCAGCGTCAACTGAATGAGGGACATGCCCGGCCATGCTGCTTGGGGTCTAGAACTCTGGGAAGCCTCTGACTTTGTGGATGCTTTTGCGAGAAGCCTCCCGCTGATTCTCAATCGCAAGGGCCTGCAATCCTAAACCCCGAAGCCCACAGTAGTCTGCAAAGTTTTCGGGTGTTGGGCTTAATGATGGATCCTGGCACGACATGGTGGTTGTTTAAGTCCTCTCTCTGTTCGCTGGTCGGGTTTGTGGCTTTGGGTCCCGGGCGCCAAGGTTTAGGAGTTTCAGCTTTCGGATCTTGGGGTTTCGTGAGCCTCAGGCTATGGTTAGGGTGTAGGGGTTAGGGTTTAGGGTTTAGGATTTAGAGTTTAGGGTTTAGGGTTTAAGGTTTAGGGTTTAGGGATTAGGGTTCAGGGTTTAGGGTTAAGGGTTTCGGGTTTGCCAGCCAACCTGTCAGCCCGCGACATGGCCCAACCATAAACCCGAAACCCTAACCCCCAAACCCTGAACCCCTAAACCGTTAGCCCTTAATGAAAAATAACAAGTTCCGGCCGTCAGCCCAAAGCGTTAGTTGCTGCTCAAAACCCGATATGTAAGCCTGGCACACGAAAAAGTCGCAACGATCCGGATCTGGGCCTGGTCTAGTTATGAAGGCTCAAAAATAAACCCTTACAATCCTTACAATAGCCCTACTTAAAATAGCGCATAGAACTCCTTTAGAGAAAGTCTAGCCCCCTAACCAGCGCTGCGTGACTTGCACACGGAGTAAGCATGCACCTCAACTCCTTACAGACAGCAGGACAAAAACCACAAAGCTAAAAATAAAACGGGAGGCATATCTCGAGAAGAATTCGGGGGTTCTTGGAACTGGGCGCCTTCTTCAGGGTCCCTTACAATCATGATCCTCCTATCCTAAGATCACAAGATAAACCCTAGAAGCCCCAACAAACCTTGAAAGCTTGGGGCTCCTCCAATATAAAGGCCTTAATAGTTAGCATAGGGTTTTGGGGGGTCTTTTATAGTATAGTTATAATAAGCAACCCCTGAAATTATTGAGGCCCCCATTTTAGTTTCTGAAACTCGCCTTCCATAAGCCCAAACACATGGCTCGGGCCCTTGCCGAACTCTGGAGACGGCTCTGCGTCGCGCGAAGGGCCGCGGCCTCTGGCCGTCGGGTGTGCGATGGGTTCAGGGCTGGAGGTTAGGCTGTAGGTTTTTAGGGTTTAGGGTTTAGGGTTTAGGGTTTAGGGTTTAGGGTTTAGGGTTGGGTTTAGGGTTTAGGGTTGAGGCTTAGGCTGTATATGGTTCTGGGCTCATTGGGTTTAATGATCAGGGCCTCAAGGACTCAGAGCGCAGGACTGGGAAAGAGGCCCCGAGACAGGCTTCCCGTCTCAAGCCGTCCAAATCAAGCGGACTTGCTACGACTTGTGAACCCTAAACCCTAAACCGAGCGGATTCGTGAACTTTATCCCGACAGTCCCAAGGGGCACACCACAGTGTTCTTCGAAAGGTTGGTGCAAGAATCCCGAAACCCACAGACCCTGAGTGACTACATCTACCGACTACCACCACTAAAATCAACCCTAAACCCTAAACCTTTCACCCTAAAGCCCTAAACTCTAAACCCTTAACCCTAAAACCCTGCAAACCCTAAACCCTAAAACCCGGCAAACCCTAAACCCTTGACCCCAAAACCCTGAACCCTAAACCCAAAGAAAGAGCTCACACGAAGGTCTCCACACAGGGCTGTGCCTGGTCATTGCGCTCTGCTTGCAGGTCCGTCACCTTCTGCCGAGACACAGCTTTCGAGACTTTAATGTAGGGGCCTTAACAATTAGAACAAGGTTTTGGGAGGTAAATTATACTATAATCACAATCAGGAATCCCCAAAATAGTATATTATTATTCCGGAGGTGCCAAGTCCGAAGCGAACGTACCTCAAGCAAGCGAATTCAGACAGTGAAACGGACGGACAGAGCGGACCTCCCCGGCGTCAAGCGTTCAGTTATTCTGAACCACTCGGCGAGGGGCCCGAGCGTCGTCTCATGGCTCCTAATCTCTACAGAACATCGCCGTCCGATCCGAGCGAGGGACAACGCGAAGGACAGCCATTCAAAGAGAAGACGAAGCCAATGAGTGTGCTGCCGAAGTCCACGGAGAGTGCAGGACAGTGGCTCCCACGCAGAACAGACAGCAACAGGCGGAGCAGGCACCACCAGAGCCAGACCAGAATCCAGGAAGGCAGGCGGTCCCTGCCAGAAACGCCCCAGATCAAAGGACTCGACAAAAGCAGCACCCGAGGAAAGTCCAGACCCGACGTTAGCAGACCCAGGTGCAATACCCTGCCAAGCATCCCCCAAGGGGAGGGGACGTAACGCCGGGTAAAAGGATGCGTCTCGATCGTCAACAGCGCGACGAACCCTGGAAGCCGCCTCGCAATGCAGATCGACCTGCATACACAGCAGGACATCCGAGGCCCAATCTCGAACCTGCGAGGGCGGGAGCTCAGCAATCCAATGATCAAGAGTGTTACGAAGAACATGGAAAGGTTCCACCACTCGTTTAACACACTCAAAGATACCGCAATCGGATACAAACTCTTCTGTGCGCAGAAGAGTAAGCAGCTCGAAGGAGACGGTGAGCCCCAAGGGGGGAACACACGTGAAGTCGCCCCCGCCTGGCGCCACACTCTGGACATGACCCGGCTGGGACAAGTCGGCCGGTAGCAATGTAGGGAGCCTAGCCTCAACCGCCTGACAGCACCTAACAGAGTCCTGAAGATGCCGCTGATGCCGTTTGAGTGTGGCAAAGAGAACGCCACACGCACGACACCGTCGTCCCTCAGCAAAACGGCGAGCCCGGGATCGGTACCCATGGGTTCGGGCCGCGTGTGCAGACCACGAATGAAAATCGAAGAAGGCAACGCCACACTGCAAGCAGGCGTGCTCCGCGGTCTCGACATCAACTTCGGACGGCGGAAGAGGGTCCCAGCTACTCCTGCAAAAGGCCTGGAATAGGGCAACCAACCGAAGCCTTCCAACATGCCACGACGAGGCACGCTTAACGAGACCTCTACAAAACCTCGGGCGAGCGAAAACGGCACGCCACTGCTCCCATGTCTCTTCAATGGGACCAAGGTCCGACGTGGCAGAACAGGCCTGGAGGAGCCAGGCAGAGGCTAACCGAAAAGCCTCGAGGCTCCGCGGAGAGTGCTGAAGGAGAGCAAATGCCTCATCAGGACCTGTGCGGACAAGCTGAGCGAGAAATCGGATTCGCTCAGCCGCAAGAAAGCCAGCCAAGTCCAGAAGGCCAACCTCTGAGAGGACACGTTCAACAGACCAGTTTTGTGCAGAGTTCCTCGGGATCCGCAGCATGGCTCGCAACATCATGAAGTAGCAAGCCTCGAGCATGCGCCAGCTCGTGCAGCAAAGGGTGGGCCACGCCCCGCTGCCCGCAAACATCGCTGACAAGACATGCGAGCGAAGCAGAAGGACACGCTTGGTTAAGGAAATCCGGGGAGTGCAAAACACAAGAGCCTTGCCTTCCTTAAACAGCTGCTTCGCATATTGAATCCGCGCCTTGATCTCGGGTATCAACGAGCCGTTGAAAGCCAGGACAGAGCCCAAATGTCTATAATGCGGCACGACGTCCAAACTCAAGGCAGGCCCGGTTTCTCGCAGCACGCACAGCTGACCATGCTGGCGCGTGAAAACCTGTTCCCTGACATCCCGCGCCCCAGGACCGCACGGTGCAAGGATCGCCGCTGTCTTTTTTGGGCCTAAATTAGGCTTGAGACCATGGCTGTAAAGAGCGTCCACCGAGCATCCTGCCACGTGCCGCGCAGCCTGCGGCAACTGCGAGGCCTTATCAGTAAGAATGCAGGTGGCAAGGTCGTCCGCGTAGACGATGTCCTGCACAACGATAGAACGAGCCCCCGCCCTTCGGGCATCAAACGCAACAGGCTGGCGCTGTCCATTCCACATAACGACCGGTTGGAAACCCTCAGATGAGAAGGTACCCCTGCGCTCAAGGACCTTGGCAAAAAGCATGCTAAACATGACATCAGCCCAGCTGGAGCCGGGTCGCGTGCCACGGCGAGTGCGAACAACCGTGTGGTCCCCCTGTAAGAGAAACCAAGAGTCGGAGTGGAACTCCTTGGCGAGGGAGTGGAGGAGGGCCTCGCCCTCCTCGCCCTCAGCATTCAACACGGGCTCACAAGCAGAAAAGTGCTGCAAGGCTTGCAGATCCTCCCGTGTCAGCCCTAGTGAGCGAACAACATCCTCCAAAGGAGCGGAGTGGGCATCTCGTCCAACAATCGTTTCCCTGACAATGGCATAGTATGCTGCGGCCAAATCACAAAACAGCAGCCCAGCCGATTTAGTGTGATGCCGCGCAAAGTCAAGAAACAACCTGGCACAAAAGAAACCCATGCTGTGGCTATAGCCAGAGCGCCCGCCGATCTGAAGCGGCCCAGCGCGTCGCTCAAACCCAGCAACCGCCACCGGGCGGAGCGCCTTGTGGAGCACTTTCTCCAGAGTGCACTGAACCAAGATTCCTCTTTCAGCACCACAAGTACCAGGATTGCTGGCCCCAGGCTTGGGGATGTGAAACAAGGTGCCTCCTTTATATCCAATCGGTTCAGAGCCAAAGCATAGTGCCTTTAGGAGGATCGGCCAGAAGAGAAGCGAGAGAGGGGTAGCAAACTTCCGGCACAGGGCCGGCGGAACCCCATCGGGGCCACAAGCCTTCAAGGGGCTAACCCCACGGAAAACCCCGCGCAGCTTGTCAAGGTCCGGGATAAGGGAACACTGGAGCGATGAACGGGCCGGGGCAAGGGCTTGTCGCTGAAGGCAAGCGGTGGCAAGGAAATCCTTAGCAACCGGAACCCCTCCCTCCAGCCCCGCAAAATGCTCCCTCCAGGCTGTCTGCACCTCCTCAAAAGAGCGGCAAGTCTCCCCATCCGCCTTTCGGAGATGAGGGAGGGGATCGGGTCCCCCCCGACGGAATTTGCGCGGCCGAAGAAGGCGCTTTAGAGCAACCTGAGTCTCGTGCGGCGGGACAGTCTCAACAGCATCCGCAAGAGTCTCAAGATGGGTGCGCTTGTCACGCCGACACATCCGACGGAGAACCTTCCCATCAGCTGAAATCTGACGAGCTAAAAGGGCAATGTTGGTCTGTAGCCTCGCCAGCCAGCGCCCATTGAAAAGCGACCAAAAGTCCATATCGTCATGACCCCACGCTAGAAAGGCACACCGCAAGGAAGCCAGTCGGAGAGCTTCAGCTCGGTTCCGCAGAGCGTGCCGGAATCCCGCAATCCGGGCGTGAACCTGCGCTGTGTCTTCAGCAAGGAAAGATCCACGGAGGCGACGCGCAGCGACTGGAAACGCATGAGCCAGTTCACAATAAAGGTACTCAGAAACAAGCGCAGCGTGGTCGTTGACATTCACATCCCAAGGAACACAAGGGGCACGCTGCAGGATGCCCTGAATACGGTCACAATTGGTAGGGTCAAGAAGCGCAGCAGGGTCCACCTTAGTGACACGCTTCTTACCCCCGCATCGGTGCATCACCCGACAGTACACCAAGGCCGCAAAGTGGTCAGCAGTAGCATGCCCGGCGGTGATTCCCGGATCCACCGAGGCACATACATCAGCCTGCTTCCACGACAGGGGAACAGCAACAAAATCGCAACGATGCAGCTCTCCCGTGTTGCGCTGAAGCAGGGTACCGCCCGGACCGTTCATATGCCCACCAAAGGTGCTCGGTATCCATGCCTGGACCTCGGACAGCAGGTCGTGTAGGCAAGATCCGGAGAGATCTTCGGGATCCGCTTGGTGGTCCCCAACAAACCGTGAACTAGGCAGGCCTACACGAGCATTAGCGTCCAAGAGTAGGATCCATTTGCCGGGTTCACCGACACCTCGGCAAAGGCGGCTAGTCTCTTGCCACCATGCCTTGCGTACAGCCTCAGCGTGGGCCCTATGCGGCGCATGCCCAACCAAAACGAGATACTGATCGCCAGTTATCTCAAGCCGGACAAGGAGCCGTTGAATGTCCGAATGCAGGACAGTAACCTGGACAGGTGGCCATCCCTTACCCTTAGCAACCCAGAGTTCCACACCGAAGCAGTTCCTTGCATTGGCTCCAGAGCAAAACCTGTCGAAAAGTTCTCCCCTAAAGGAGCCAGCGGGTGTCCTAGCCTCCTGTATGCCAGCAAGGAAGATCCCTCGTTGTCGAAGTGTACTTCCCAGTAAGGCAACACGTCCGACCGCACCATGAAGCCCCGGACCCCGGCCTTCGGGGACCGCATCAGCAGTATCGCCGCCGGCCAGGAGGGACAAAGCATTATACGATGCAAGAGACCAACAGAACTCCGAAACGCGGCCACCAGACGAAGGACCAGAACAGGCCGCACGGGTAAAGGGGGCAAGGAGCAAATCCGGACTGAGCCGTGAGGGCGGCTCTTGCGCCTGCCAAGTCATGACATCAGCCTGCTGCGGAGGCATGACCTGAGGCGAAGCAGCAGTAAAGCACCAGTGAGGCAACCATCTGGCGGCGAGGGCTCCATGAAGGAGCCAAGGCGCAAGCAGCACATCAAAGTCTCCAATCTGCCGTCGCCCGGTCGTGGCAAGAACAGCGAGGCCGTCAGCAAGCTCATTGGCACAATCTCCAGAATGGCCCGCAACATGACGATAATGCAAGCGGTCGCCGAACCGGACAGAGAGCGCGAAATGGAAGCACCTAGCTGCAACACAAAGAGGCACATCCACCATGGCCCAGGAGCCATCTACGCCCCAAAGCGCGGACGTGCAGTCACAGCGGATGACACAGGAGCCTTGCCAGGGCAAACGAAACAGCAAAACCGCGGCCCATAGCAGCCCATAGGTCTCAGCCAGGAAAGCATTGGGAGAGTGGGCAAAATCGAAACCGGGCACGTCACCGGCAGGAAAGGGCGCGAAAAGGCACCCAACGAACTGCCCAGGATCATCGAACACTGTAGTCAAGCTAACCACGACGGCACAGCCAGCCAGACCCGAAGGCGCATGGAATGAGCCATCCGCGGTAACAACCAAGTGTTCCCCCGGCGCAGGTGACCTACCGGGAGATCCAGCAGCCAGCCAATCAGCAAAACGGGCCGGCTTGGGAACATCTGCAGGCGGGCCTGCTAGAGCCCCAAACGGGACCTGACGAAACAGGTCCCCGCACATCGCCTGCGAGCAGGGCAGCAGACATTGCCCAACATCCAGGGAAAAGCGTTCAGTATCCGCAGCAATCGCATCCCCAGGCGGCGGTAAGTCCAACAGCCCCGAAAGAACAAGAGGCTGCCGCAGGGGGCCCTGAGCAACTTCACCAGTCTCAAAGGCCCAGCCGAGGCGGAGATGATCGCTGAGCGTATCAAGAAGAGTAGCTGCAGTAGAAAAGGCAGGCGAATCCTGGCGGGCGACTGACTCCTGAAGAAGTGTGAGAAGACAATCCGGCTCCAGACACTCCCAAAGATTAGCGGCCTCATAGAGATGAGGTGTGTTACCATCATAGCGATCTGAGAAGCCTTGGGCGAGGAGAGGAGGACACGGAGGCCGGGCATTGCCAGAAGAAGCACCAGCGACACGCTGCAAAGGACGCGGCACAGCCAACACGGCCCGATACAACCCTCCTTCGGATGTGTCTAGGCCATCACATCCCGCAATGTCAAATACCTGTACGCTGGCGCTTGTGCGCACAAGCAACATGCAACAGAGGAAGCCAAAGACGACGCCGCAGCGCCCATCGCCAAAATAGGGCCGCAGTTTGCAACGAGCACCGACAGGCCGACTAGGGGCGCAAGAGAGGCAAAAAGCGACCACAAGAACTGCAAGTCTGAATCCATCACATTGGGCCTTCCAAAGGGCCCTTGCACACCAGAAAAGCGGCCTAAACAAGGCACCTGGCTGGAGGACAGAGGTGTGGAGCAGGCCGCCTTCAGCAAAGGCATCGATCAAATAACCAGCTCCCCACATAGCAACTCGACAACCAAGCACCCCGAAAAGGGCAAAGCAGGGAATCCGAATGTAGCCCCGACCAAAACGTGGCAGAGCAGCAGATCCGCCGGGAAGGCTTGCAGGATCTCGAGAGCCCGAGGGTTCCTCGACCCTTGAAGTGGCACTATCAGGGGGAATATCATCCTCCCCGTCCGACCCCTCAGAGCCAGAATCCTCGTCTACATCATCGTCCCCTGCGCGAAAACCTGGGACTCGGCCAGGCCACCGCGGGACAAAGGAAACTGTGAGGACCTGGCCAGCATAAACCTGTCGGTAGTGGTTTTCAAAACCAAGAGGTGAATGACCACCTACCAGGCGCACACAGTACCCTGCAGGGCAACGATCCCGATGCCGGGCACATATCGCCGCAACGTCAGCGCGCCCATTGACAGCGACCTCCCACTCAAGAAGCAGAAGGACAGGCCGTGCATCCAGGAAGAATGGCACATCTTGGGCGTTGTGCAGCCTGACGCCTAAGAACACCTGCCTAGACACAATACCACTCCTCGCATGATTACGAATCGGAGGAGTGGCTGGCATAAGCATAAACATAGATGATGGGATCTGCAGGAGCTCCTCGAGTCTCGCACGAAGCGGTCTCCGAAGACGCCCGTCAACTGTAATTCGCCTGGGTGTCTGGTCGGTCAGCAGCCAGAGATTATCAGAGAAGGGGCCCGGCATAGCACCATCATCATGCCATCCTGCGCTGTCTCGTAGGATCCTATCCAGATGCACAGGAGGGATCCCAGCGTCCCCCTCAGGAAAAATCGAAAGGAGTTCACCAGGGCGAACGTGTACCGTAACATCAGCAGCGACTTCCCAAGGAACATCCGCAACATAAACCCGAGCACGGGCACCATCTGGGATCCCGGCCAGTCTACGCACCCCGTCCGCGCGCAAAGTATCGGGGACCACAACAGCAAACAATCGGAAAGGTGGGTCCGCACAGGCAACCAGAACAGGGACTCCAGCGAAAGGCCACGCTGGCACCGCGACGATACAGACAAACGAGTATGGGGGCTGTATCGCGACCGGGACTAACCTAGGAAATCGCCAACGAGCTTCAGGCTCCCTGGCTGCGTCCGCACTGCGTAGCAAGGTATCCACGTCAGCAGGCAGCTGGATACGAAGACGAAGTACCTCGGTCTCATACTCGGGAGCAAAAACCAGCACTGTCAGGTCGGTGGGAACAGCAGCGGCCAATCCTGTCCCGTTCCCCGCGTGCGCAGTAGCCAGAGCTTCATCTCCAGCGGTCCCACCAGGCCCAGAAAGAGGCTGAGTGCTGTCTCGCGTTGCGATAGCGGGGGCCAAGTCCGATCCAACAGCAACTACAGCGACATCCAAGGGATCCGAGGCCGCAAGCTCCAAGACCGGCACATAAATCAGTGAGAGGGTCTGTCCTGGAACGGTGACAAGCTCCCCAGTCTGCGTCCCATCTCGGAGCGCGGCCCGCCATCCATGGGGGGCCTCTCTGTTGAACTCGTCAAGAAGACCAGCGACATCGACGATGCGGTTGTAAACGTGAAGGGCTCGACAACCATCTTCGAGTGGGCGACAATCCAAAACGACGAGGTGCCAGGACCTCCGCCAGTCTTCGTCATATCGCTCGCCCACAGCCAGGATCGTGCGACAAGGGACCCCCTGAATCGCAACATCAGTGGGGCGAGGTTGAGCAGCGAACAGGCAGAGCCTGGACAACTCAATGCCAACGTAACTTGCAATGCCACGCCGATAACTCGTGGGAGCAGCATAGTCCGTGATGTACAATCTCCCTTGCCCCCGGTGTACCAAGCAATAGGCACCTTCGAAGAAAGGAGTCGGCACAACGGACTCAGAGCTCCATCCAAGAGGATCAAGGAGCAAGCGTCCTAGAGAAGTAGACTCTGGAGGTGCAATGCCCGCGGGCATAAACCAAACAAGAATCCCAGGAAAAAGGTGCGCCTGCATCTCTCCGTGTACATACAAGGGGTCCGTGCCAACCCAAACGTCCGGCTCAATGACTCCATGCAGGTTGGCCAGACCGATAAGATCCGCTCTGGTGGCATAGGTGGGCGCAAACACAGCAAATAGGCGCCGGTCAAAGCGAGTAGTATCAAAGCAGACCCTCGTGTAGCCTACACTCCACTCCGTCAAAGCAAGGTAAACAGCAGTACCCTCATACGGCTGCGGGAGCACAGGCAGGAGCAAAGGGAAGATCTCCCGATACATGGGGTCACGTGCTGCCTGAACAGCTCCACTCATTTCATCCTCAGTGGCAGGTAGCGCAACGGCAACCGTAAGGTGCTCATCCGAGTAATCATGCTTCAGAACAACACAGCTGACCCAACGCACGACGCCCTCGGCAGACGAGGCAGCATCATCAGAGGAGCCAACCTCCGGGTCAAGAAACTCCTGCAGGAAGACCGGGAGTCGGGGGAGCCAGGGCCCCCCCAAAGCCAAGGAAAGGGCACGAAAGTACCCAAGGCGACGCTGCTCCGACGACGAGTGCCCCTTTGGTTCGACAATAAGCTTGCAGGAAAGCAACCAGGGGAAAAGACCACCAGGTTGACCGCCAAAGGCAATTCGTGCCATGACCGCCACAATGCAGAGCCCAAAGCAGAAAAGGGCACAGTCAGCGATAAACTCCGAAGCAAGAGGGGAATCTCCCAGAGAGGGAGCAGCTTGGACAGGAGCAGCTGCACAAGCAAAGCCCATACCAAGAACAAGCCGGGAAGCACTAGCACCATGCCGAGCACCATGATGATCGCGAGGAGACCTACTCCGGCTTGCCGGCCTAGGCGGAGGGCCACGGCCGGAAGAGATGGAGCTCTCACTAAGCCCAGGGGAGTCCGGGTCAACATCATCTGCCTCTGAGTCTTCACCTTCATCATGTCCCGCCTGTAACGCTTCCGGAGATTCCTCAAGGAAATCACGGAGGAACGAAATGGTCAGAACCGACCCGTTATCAACTATCAGGGAGGTCGCCCCGCCATGGCGTATGGGCTGGCCACCTTTGACAATGGTTGTGAAGCCAGCAGGCGCGGTGAACTGCGCAGTCAAAACATCAAGGGAAAGACGTCCCTCGACAGAGACCATCCATCGCCACTCCTGAAGCACGGGCCGAGCATCCAAGAACACAATGCCCTGCTGTGGCAGAACCCGTCCCGGAGGGATAGGGACTCGTGACAGAGCCTCCGTCGCAACGACAACAGCGTGGCATTCTTGACCCAAAAAGCACAAATCAGTGCGCCTAGGAACACTGGGGCGGATCGTAACCTTTTCGGGATCATAATGAAAGGCAGCCGAAGCCAGAGCACGAAAGCCTTCCGCCGAGTGCACCATTTGGGTATCAACTGGAAGGGCACGGAAGCCAGCATCCGACAAAGTGAGGAAAGCAGCCGCACAAGGCCCTCCATATGTCGGACATGGTAAAGCCCAGCGCCGGGTGCTAGCCAGCATTTCTTCAAGAGGGAGAAGAAGTCCCAAACCATGTCCCTGCGGCCGAACCGACACAGTGACGCCCGTCCAAAACCTGTGAAGTCCCTGTCGCGACATCAGTCTGCCAGCAATGTAGACACGCAGCCCGGGGGCGTCACCCACCCCAAGCTGGAGCAACAAGGAGGCACGACTGAGAAAAGCAGGAACCGTCCACGCAAACAGCCGATTGTCAACTGGGCGAGCATCAACAATGATGCAATGCAGAGCGGACACCCATTCGGGAAAAGCCAGAATGACAGCGAAAGATGGGTCAGGCTGAGGATCTGCAGGCACAACCGTCTCGAAAAGCAAAGCCGAGTCACAATCCATGGCCTCCGTGACCTCATGCAAAGCATCTTCAACCGAGCAGGGTGCACGAAGAGCAAGTTGGAGCACCTCCGGTATGTAGCGCGGGATACACACCAGAAAGCAACCATGTATGAACTCTGGCGGCGGAGGGTCCTCGGGCCTATTTCTAACAAACGCAGTGGCGCGAGTGCCCATGTTGCGCTCCCCAGGCAATGCAGGCAAGGCGGGCACCGTCGCCTCCTCAAGCTCATCATCTCCCGTTGCATCGGGGCGCACGGCAACAGGCACTGCCGGCAACCGGCAGACGAGGGCCTCAGGGCCCGAAGTCCCAGCGAGACGGGAGAAACCGACTATGACAGTGCATCTATCTTCTACGAAGAAGGAAAGACCTCGGACAAGGACACCTTTAAGCTCCACAGCATGACCTGCCGGAACACGAAGTCCAAGGGCACCTATCAAGTCCTCGATTTCCTGCCGCCCTGGAAGGAGGAACATGAAGGTGGGACGCAATCCAATAGGCCGTAGGTCCAGGAAAACAAACACACCGTTCACAGAGTCGGTAGACACGAACGTCGGACGGTGCGCTGCGGCGACAACACCCCTCATCAAGACACCATCGACCACAAGGCGCCAAAGGGGGCTATCGTCGTAAGGCGAGCCAAAGATCAGCTCACGCGGATCGGACGGGATAGCAGCAGCAGCCTTAGCATGGAAGGCCGCAGTGTCCAAACCGACAAAGGGTACCCTGCGCGAGACATGGCTACACATCACAAACCAATCCTGCGACGGGCAATCCTGATATATGCAGCCAGCTCCCGCACCGCAACGGCTATCTCCATTACGGCACCGCTCAGCGAAGTCCACTGGAGGAGGCGGGCCATCATTGCACCGTCGGAAGGTAAAGACGCCGCCCGGAAAAGCTTGAACGACATCACCCAACTGCATGGGGGTCGTCCGGTCCCCAAAATAAACAACCCATGGGACCGCGACGAAGGGACGGGCCTGGGCCTCCAGTGTCTCGTAAGTGACGAACTCCCAGTCACAAACCGCAAAGGTCGGCCCCTGAAAGATCCCAAAGTCTAACAGGAAAACCGTCTTCATCGAGGAGGCAACCCAATCTGGCACTGCAACAAGCGGCAAGAACCCAGCACCTAAAGAAGGAACGGCTGGAACCAGAGTAGTAGGAAAGTCAAAAACCATCCCAAGCTGGGCGGATTGACAAGGAGAGTGGGCGCCTTGCGTATCCGGCCGAAAGTCCCCTACCCGCATCTCGGCAGGATATCCGACAGCGAACACCACATAGACCTGATCCCCGACACTTGCATCATTGCACAATGCGCCACGGAGAGTGCTAGAGGATACAACTTCCCGCGCCAATCCATCAGCACAAGCATAGCGTCCTTCAAGGTCATCGGGCCGTTGACCAGCAAGAGCGTCCGCTAAGGCAGCAACCTCGCGAAGGCCAGGAGGGACGGCGTACACCACAGTAGGCAGGGAACCACCCAAACAAAAAAGGAAAGGGCGCAAGGCCCCGTACCTACAACGACGGCCACCCCTAGCACATGCGCGTTCGCGCGCACAGTCACCTTGCCATCGAACACAAACCACACCTCCAGGACCTTGCCCAACACAGCCTATGGGCAGAACCATACCCCGGCAAGCAGGCGGCACCACCCGAAACATAAGGCGTCGAAGACGGGCAAAGCCGGACATACACGGGAGGCAGAGTATTTGCAGTAAACCAACAAAGCCCAAAAGGAGCAAACTACGAACCCCTGCAGCAGCACCGACACCGCAGAACCTAACGAAAAATCCCAAACAGGAAGCGAAGGCATCTGCAAGGGAGGGGCCCCTCTCCGACAAAACAGACCGTGGCGAGCATCCCCGAGCCACCGATATGCTTCTTAGGCGCCAGGCCGGTGAGTCAGAGGAGAGAGCCACACAGTCGTGGCAGCCGAAAAGGTTGGCGCCATTGCGACGTACAAAGGGGGCAAGGGCGACACCTGTACCGGAATACACACGAGACCCCGCAAGAGGCACCCGGAAGAACACAGCGACAGGGACGCCCCAAACCGAAACAGCCCAGGACACCGTTGGGCATGAAAACTGATAGCTCACAACAGCGATCGGCCCTGAGCCCCCGATCCGATTCTTTGGCGCCTGTTGAAGCTTATCAATTACGAGGCCCTTACAGCGTGGCAGAGCATACTTATGTTGACAGTCACAACTGCCAGACATGGGTGCATGACAATGCATGCCAATGTACCGGCACAGCGGGGGAGAACGACCGTAACCACAAGCCCAGTGGTCCGGCCGTCCTCGCGAGGAAGAATGGGCTCGGCAAACACAGCAGCTAACACAAGAAGTGAGAGCAGACGTGTCGCCTAACCAGAAAAGTGGGGACGACGCACGAGAAGGGAAGGGTGAGACAGAAGACTGTACAACGCCCTTCAGAGAGTGTGAGAAGCCAAGCCCTGCAGAGGCATAGTGCCTAAGTGATTCCTCGCCTTCGGGGCCCCTGTGCATTGCACATCCCAAGTGCAATGCAACAGTCCCGTCTGGGAGAGGACACGAAGGCACCTTGCCAGGCAGGGCCTGTCGGAAGGCACCTAGCCCAGGTCTTGAAGGCCCGCAGAGACCTGGCGAGATTGCTCGGCGTCGTCCTCGTCGTCTTCCACGAGCCCTGGAGCCAAAGCAGGAACACCAGATGGCCCAACAGTCTTCCCGAATGGCTGTAGGGCTGTGCGTGCCGCCTGTCGACGTTGCTCCCTTTTTGACACCAGCTGTGACTGACCCGGGGAGAGCATGTGCTGATCCTGCAGCTCTGTCGCTGCAGGCGGCATGATCGTGTTTCCCGGCGGGAGCGGCATGCGCATAGCAGGATCGTCCGGCAAAGCCTCGTCGGGCACCGGCTCGAGGGGGTTGTTCGCCCGCGCGTCGCCCAGACGCGTGGACGGCGAAGGCAGGTACGGCACCTTGGCTTCCTTGTTGTCCCTGGCTGGGACTTCGGGAACGTAAGCAGTCAGGCCCGGCGCAGGCGGCCCCGGGCATGGCAGGACCCCGCGTGGATCTCGTCCTCCTGCGGATCCCAGCGATGCCTCGACCGCCATAGCCGTAGCCTTGGGCGGTATGGCGCCATGTTGTCGGAGGAAGCGCACTGCCATCATGGCCTGCTGGAGAGTATCCGCATCCGGTAGCTCCTCGTCGTCCTGGAGTAGTCTCTCCCAGCTGCCGTCGTCGAGCACTGGCGCCTCTTCCGGCTGTGGCATCGGCGTGCCATTGACAATGGCCTGTACTTTGGCCGCCGCCATCTCGCCGGTCTCTGCCACTTGCATGGCTTCCTTGTCGAGCCGGTCGAGGTCTGCAAGGTATTGGCGCTTCTGCTTGACGAAGTCTTGCTTCGACTTCTCCTCGAAGCGCTGCCATTGCTTCTCCCTCGTAGCCCGTTCCTCCTTGATCTTCCGCAAACGAGCCTCGGACTTGCGGGAGACCGTGAGCTCTTTCTGGATCATCTGGTTGCGTGTGGGCGCGGTGCCCGCCGCTGCCGTAGCTGCGGCTGGCCGGTCGCTCAGCCAGTTGCTGCGGCGACCTTTCCCACCTTCCTCTTGTACTTCCATCTGGTCGTAGCGCAATGTGGCTTGTCGCCCCTTCTTGGGCGACGGCCATGCACCCTGCCAGTATTGCCAAGGCGGCGATTGCCCGCTGGCCGAGCCCTGTTGCGCTTCCCACTGGCCTGCAGCGTTGGACCGCCATTGAGCCTGACGCTTGCCACCACCCATGTGGGAATTCGGTAGCTCACGGTATCTAGGCACACTGTGGTGCGCACTCAGCAAAAGCAAGTCCTTATGAGCAGGGACTATACCCTGCGAGCGAGCCTTCCAGACTCTTTGTCGGACCTTGCTCCTTACCCGACGGCACCTTCTGTGCCAGCCCGGGCTCCTAGGCGTGGCTCTTTTCGCCACTGGGGCTTCAGCAATGTCGGGACACGCAGTCCCTGACTCGATCCGAAACCCTCAAAATAGTATAGGTAATTATTAAGGCCCCTATATGAAGAGGTTTAGGGTTTAGGTGTCAAGAGGTCATCCAGGGCATCGGATGAAGGCAACTTGGGGCGACTGTAGTGTCTGTACTGGTGTGCCTGAGATCCTTGCGTCCGAAGCCACAAGTTCACTTACAAATTTGTTTCGAAAATCCCCTAGACTCTTCTGGGAGAAACATCCCTCTTCCCATATCAAAGTGCAATACCCTGCACCTGCTCAGATCTAAACTTGAAGCCGGCTCCACCCTAACCCCTGAACTCTCAAATACTCTCAAAGGAATCGCCTAGACCCTAAAGCCTAAACCCTTTACCCTGAACCTTAAACCCTAAACCCCCGTAAACCCTAAACCCGACAGCCCCTGGACCAGGGGGCCCCACCCGCAGCTTCATGGCTGCAGCCTCGCCATCGAGCTGGCTCACTCGAACCTCCAGGCACGCTACGGATCGAAGCACTGATTCCTTAAAATTTGCGGACTTTTGAGGCGAAAACTACACACAAGGAATGCTAAGGATCTTCGCGCTTTGGGAAGAGTCTTTGCTTTGTCTTAGAGTTTCGGCATTGAGGGGGTTAGCTGTGAGATATGAATGACCGAAACGGACCGGGGAGCTTGCTTCTCCGAGCCACGCACAGGGCTTTCGGTTTGAGGGCTTTGCTTAGGGTCGTGGCCTGTCCCTTGTTTTTCGTTTCTTCAATGCGGGGAGCTTGGAAGTAGCGAAAGGCCAGATGGCTTTCGCGGCTTTGAGCAGCCACCGGGACCACGCCTTAAGGTTCCACAGGACGGAAAAAAGCAGAGCCCCTCCTCCACTGCAAAAACGGCTTCTATGACAAGGAACCCACGACGACCACGATAGCTGCAATATCAAGGCCAGCACTAATCGCGAAATCAAAGAGGAATAATTCCCATAGGCCTCATAGTAGTTCCTTTTGGGGATTACCTTATAGGATCCTAAATATGAACCCCAAAAAGGAACTACTTTAGGGCCTATGGGTTGTTGCAAGAGGGATGCAGAGCAAAGAACCGGCGGCGACTCACGCCAACGAAAGCCTGACGTAGGCCGGGTCCTTCTTACTGCCGAGAGAAAGCCGTGGAAGCAGTACAAACGTCCTTCGACAACCAAGGGGCCTTCTTTAATATACTATACTATACTATACTATACTATACTATACTATACTATAATATAATATAATATAATATAATATAATATAATATAATATAATATAATATAATATAATATAATATAGTATAATATAATATAATAAAATGCGTGAGGGTTTGGTATTGATGATATGTT